ATGAAAAAAGGTTGAATGAGTTTGAGTTGCTCAGGGAGATACTGTTTTCCAGTTTCATCAAGCTGAACAAGCAGTAAGGCAAGGGAGAATCTGCTTGGCTGTGTTTCTCCTCAGTCTGTCTTATTTCCTTATATACAGATCAGATCCTCAGCTGTTGCAGATGAGTTTAACCTCAGGAACTTCTTGGTGCTCTCACAGTATACACTGGCACAGAAAGCAGCCCTCTGTACTCCAGTCAAGAGTGGGAGTTATTCCTAAAAATATGAAAACTCTTTAGCTTTTTCACTAGAGCTGAAAGAGTTCTTACTTGACAGGCACTTTGCTGTGGTCCTGCTGGAGTTTTGTTTTCTTGTCTGAGGCAAGGACACAAGCAGGCAGTGCTTGGAGTTCAGACGACCATGAAAAGCCCAGTATTTAGCAGAAAGGGGTGTATCTGCTTCCATTAAATGCAGCAAAAAAGAGGTGGCTCAGAAGAGGGCTGGCGGGTACTAAGACTGGCTGTTCAGCAAAGCACCCTGTGCTTGGCTTCCTAAAGTTGCATGAGTCAGACCAGCTCTTCTCAATTAGCCTAAGTGCTTGCCCCAGCAGCTGCAGGAGAGCCTCCGTTTGTGGCTGTGGAAAGGAGCGTGCCAGCTGAGGCTGTGGAGGCTCACATCAGGGGCTCGCAGAGGTCTGGGCTTGGCTACCAGCCTTGCACCACTCTGAAACAGTGCAGGACTTGGTTGAACCACTCACCTTCTCCTCCTCATCCTTCTCTCCCTTCTCCTCCTTTTCCAAGTGCTCAGTTGTCCAGGGTGGTTTGCAGTCAAACCAGAAAACCCCTAAGAAGCTCACAGTGTAGGGACAGCCACTGGTCCCTTGAAGGAACTCACAGAGGAGCCTTTTCCTTCACCATGCTCACTCTAAGCCTGCAGTGAAGAGCTGCACAAGCCCATGATACCAATTAACACAACTGAATCAAACTGCTTATGAGTGAGGACATCATGCATAGGTTCGGTCACCAGATGAAATGACTTTGCACATCCTTTCCCCTGGAAGCAAGTTTTTGTAAGGCAGGCATCTGTCACTGAGTAGGCTTCCATAAATGGATCTGAAAACTTTTTTCTTTTAATACTTTGTTTCTTTAAGCCAGAACTGATGCAAAAGAAGAGCAAAAGTCGGAACTGTCCCTCCCGATCTGATGCAGGGCACAGAATGAGTTGCCCCACAGAAGAACAGAAAGGTGGAAAAATTCCCCATCTCCTTTTGAGGGAAAATCTGCAAGAAGCAGAAGCTCATCTTGTGGCACAGATGTCAGGGCTGGGAAGCAAACAGCCTCTGCGGGCATTGTGGTTTTGTACAAAATTGACCATTGTTTCCCTTCTGTCCCATCAAAATTATTCATCAATTCAAAGCATTTCCAGGAGAAAGAGGGGAAAGGTTTGCACATCCTTTTCCAGCCAACTGCCCTTAAACCACTTCTGAACTAAGAATGCCTAGACATAAGCTTGCAAAAGGCTTCCAGAGCTCCTGACAAACTTTGTAGGGAAAGGGAGAAGAGAGAAGGGGAGGAGAGAGGGAGAGGGAGAGGGAGAGGGAGAGGGGGAAAAAAGAAAAGTCTATTTTAGAAAGTTCATATATGTGTTAGAAGCCAAAACATCTCTTCATTTGTATGAACACAAATCAGCTGCAGCAGGGATAGTGAAAGGCAAAGTCGGTCTTAAATGCTTTGTTTTACTGCTAATTTAAACATTTGAACATAATGTTCTTTGTGATGCTTATGAACAAATCCGCAGTTGTGCTACCAGATCTGAGGAGCTCTCACTGTCTGTCTTTCTGCATCTCATAGGTTTTACATGTCACTATAACATCAGATAATGTGGTGCAACACATTGCTTTGTACGTCGAGCATCACCACGCTGAGGATTCAGCTCTGGCAGGGCAAATGGAGTTTTGTGGTGGCTGGTGAACACTAACCCAGCCCCAGCTGGCACCAGAGATGGCCCTAAAAGGGCTGTAGGCCATTTGCAGGGCTGGAGGACGGTGGAACAAGCAAGAGTGGTGCCAAAAAGTGGGGCAGAAACTGGGGGTAAACCCAGGTGGACAGTTGTACCTGTTGGAGGTGTGATGCTTCCAGCCTGTCCCTGACACCTGGCTGGCTGCAGGGATGTGCTCCCCATCATGTCACCTCCTTGGGGGTAAAGTGGACAGGTTACCTTCCTCATGCAGGGAATCAATGTGGTGACACCGTGCAGGCAAGCTCTTGGAGCTCCCCAGCTGGAGGGATGCTGGGCTGCCCCTGGGCAAGGGGACAGGCATGTCCCACTCCAGACTTTCCAAAGTTAAACTACATGAACTGCAGCATGGGAACCCTGGAATGACATTAAAAACCAGCAGCTCTAAATGCGTGGAGTTGTAGTAAAGTTGCTGCAGTAAGGCTGGGCTTAGAGCAGGATGAAACATTTTAACAAAAGCAGGGTAACTCCAACCAAACCCGCCCTTTCTCTCAGGGATGTCAGAAGGCGTGCTTTGTCCTAGGGCAGGGGCAGAGCCCCAGGTCCCTGACAGCAGCGTAGCCCTTCTGCTGTCTGATTTGCAGTGATGGAAGCACGGGGTGAGAGCAAGACTCGATAGCACTGGTTCATGAAGGGTCAAACTGCTGTGCAGCTAGTCCCCTGATTTATTAGGAAACTGTTCTTCCTTCTCCCATTGCAAGGGGAAGATCAGCAGGCAGGAGAAATAACACATCGTAGATTCATAGGCTCACACTGACATTTCATGAACAGCAGAGAAAGGACCAAATGCAAAAAACCCCCCAACCTGGCTCCAAGTTGATGATTTACACTGTTTTCTCAGGGTCTGTTTGCCAAGCAGCTGGTGTTTTGTGCCAATGGCCATTACAGAAGAGCTTTCTTTGATGGATACTGTGAATGAACACTACACAGTTTATCTTAAAACAAAATCCCCCCCACTGCTTATATGGGCTGGTAGGGAATGAGGGAAAGAAAAACTTAGGCTTTGTTGGTTTTTTTACATAGGACAGAAAGCACATTCGGGGGAGCCTGCACTATCTGTGCAAAAACACAACAGATGAATTCTATTAATGGATGGAACATGTGGCTGGGTTCAAGCTAGTGTTGTCATTTGAATATAGAAGTCAAAGCCAATTTATTGTAACATATTTTTCTTTTCAAAATATTTTAGGAAAGACAAAAAAGTTTGCGCAACAACTTGGCAAGCAGGCCTGTTGAGAGGAGGTATTTTCTATCTTGCAGCTAACATAAGGGCTGAAAAATGTGGCAGTGCCGAGCAATCCTAGATTCCTTCTGGAACTGAAAGAAAGTGTGCAGGATATAATTGTGTAAGAGCCCAATAAATTTGAAGGGTGGGTTTGTAACACTGCCTTGGGGGCTGCAGGTGGCTCCAGAAGAAAGTCATGGTTTTTATTTCAGTAACAGTCTTCAAATACTTTATCTAACTAGCTATGTACTCATGTGGCCCCATCTAGAAGCCACGGAGTTATTTTAAAATAGAAATACCCATAACAATCATTGTGCTTCTTCCATGCCAGATGGTGGAAAGATAAGTGGGATTAGTCTGTACCGAGTGTGTGTGTTACTGGGGAGGGGAGGGATGCAAAAGCTAAGGCACAGGAATGAGCTTTCCTGGAGTTTGCAAAGCACTGAACATCAGTACTCCATGGTCTTCAGGGCATGGGTCGACTGTGTTGACCAATCCTTGTTGTCATCAGCCCATATTTGCCCAAATGCCACAATGGACAATGGCCATAGAGCAGAGCTTTACTGGGATAGTAGCCCAGATCCTGGCTCTACACCTTGGTGTTAAGAGAATCACTGCATAACAGGGAGCATCAGTCTCCCACTGTGGAGTCTTGTGTTGCAAGGCAAAAATGCTGTTGCCTCGGGTTATACAGAGTTATGTGGTTGGTTCTCATGGTGAATTGCAGGCAAGTGGGGTCAGAGAATGGATGTGTCTCCTGACTGTTGTGACCTCTTCACAATTCCATTTTCTGTATCCCATTTTCTTTGTAGCTGTGTGGCTAAGAAATACATGGGTATCGAGTGATCCAACACAGGCTGAGTATTTCTGTGTGTGTACTGAGAAAGCTATTTCCTGCATTTGGTAAAGGCCCAAGTACCAAACACTGCTGGAGCAAGTAGGCAGAAAACATATTGCTGCCAAGGGAAATAATGCCAAGAGAAAAGGAGCAGCATACAGTCATTCCATGTAGATTCTCAACTTGTATGAGCATGGTTTGAGTTCTCATGTATCTTCCCCACTGCCCTCTAAGATGACTTTTTGCCATGCCTTTGTTATGGAGCTGCACCCTGGGAAGAGGAAGCAGATCTAGATCCCTTGCAAAGACCAGAGAGATCCTAAAACACTCTTCAAGGTCATTCCCAGTTACACATTTATTTTACTGAGGAAGTTGATAGACTCTGAGCCTATTTAATCATGTCGCTAATGGGATTCAATTAGCAGTCTCCCAGAGACTGCTCTTGTCAGGGAGATGACGGGACAAATGAAAGCAGTACCATTCACGCCACTATGAAGTATTAACTTATCACCTCTGTATTTCCTAAGAATAGATGCCACTTCTAGCAATAAGTCTGCAGCTTCTCGCTGCTGTTCACCAGATGGTAGGAACCAGCAGACACCGAGTTTGTTCCCTTGTGGTCAGACAAACTGCTGTACAGACCAGTGCACGTTTCCTGAAGGATCCTCAGGACAGCTCTGCTACTTCTGTTAATGTTTCCCAAGCTCCTGGTACAATATTGAGGTTTTCCACTGGAACCACCTGGCACATTTTCAGAGTCTTTCCTGAGGGATGAAGTTACTCAATCCTTTTCTTACTTTGTCAAAGCCTTTGTATCGGTCACTTGTCCTGAGAGTCTGTGGGCTGTGTCCTAAACTTCAGCTAATTATACAGAAAGGATTGCTTCCTTCTCTTGATGCTTGTTTTTATTTTCATCCTTCACGAGCCATTTCTTCTGTTTCAGGAACAACACTCTGTGGTAGGCCAGGGAGCTGGCCCCACTCCAAGCTCCAGTTCTTGCTCAAATCCAAACACTGGAAGTGGTTACATGAACTCATCCCAGCAATCATTGTTGAATCAGCAGCTGATGGAAAAGAAACAGGCTCTGCAACGGCAAATGATGGAGCAAAAACAACTCCTTCTACAGCAGCAGATGTTGGCAGAAGCTGTAAGTTTACTAATTTCTTATTTTACATTGGAAAATATTGTCATAAAAACAATAGAAAAGAGCTAAGACAGAGAGAAGAAAGCCCCCTAAAACTTCAAGGCTGTTTTGGCAATGCCTAGAACTTCAAGAGTGTGCCTCGTATTTTTCAGCATTTTTCCAAGCCTTTTCGAAACCTTCCTCAATCTGTATGAAACAACTCAAGTGTCCATGCTACTGAAGTTTCATTACAAGAACAGTCCAAGCATATGCTTGGTTTTGAGGCATGTGAATAATGGTCTGTGGTTTTCTTTGCAAGATAAACCAAGGTGCACTGCTATGCCACTTCGACCTCAGAGGAAAGTTTACTTCCAGGATCTGTCACCCAGGCAGTGTAGTATAAAATGCCTGTGTGTAAACAAGGACCAGGTACCTTGATTTTGGGGTTCAACACAAGTTTGTATGCTTGGCTGGGATCATATATGAGTCCTACTTTCTCTGGTTTTATTTTTGCATTTCTAGGTAGGTGTAGCCAGTTGTCTCTCCTTTGGTATCTGAAAGACTAGTTGGGAGTCTCTGGTCATTTTAGGAGACATGGGGGACTCCATAAAGGAAATATTTCTTGACTTTCCAATTTATGCAGAAGAAAAAAGAAGTTTCAAGTCAGCTCTCTGTGCTGCAGTTTTCAGTCAGAATTTTTAGCAGAACAAAAACTTAATTGCTCAAATAGCTTCTCTTAAATAAAGTGGAAATTTAATCAACTTGGCTTTGCTTTTGTATTGTGTACATAGAAACACACATAAACCTTGCCTTCAGTTTCTACATAAATTGCAGGGATTTCCTGAGTCTCTATCTTCTTCACAAGGATTCAGGTGGAGCAGGATACCTTACAAATCTTAATCAGATCCCTCACTCCTATTATGCATTGTGAAAATGCCTAAATAGCACAAGAAAGGCTCTTCTCCCAGTGTTTTTAAGTGCTCCTGGGAGAAGAAAATAGAGATTTTTCACTTGAAGGTCCATATGCATGCTGTTTTCAGGCAGATTATCCCCAGATTACTCCGATGGACTTGCATCATCAGCCAGGGCCTGACTCTTTCACACTGACAAGCTGGTTAGTCATTCTGGCAGCTGAGCACAAAACCTGTGCACACTGCAGAAGAGGTGTGATGCTGTCCCAACAGCTGTCCAGTAAAGGCACATGTGCACCAAACTCACCATTTCCTGCCATGGGGCATAAATCCCAAGGAGCCATGTCTCATGAGTGAGCAGTAGCACTCTGGAGGCATCAAATCACACTGATGCTGATGAGAGATTTGGCATTGACTCTGGTGCCTGCTCTTTCCAGATCTTTATGAGAGCACAGGGCAGTTAGTTAGATTCCCATTCCAGGACTTGGATTTTTATCTTCCTCTCACCAGAGACATGTACCCTGCAAACTCAAAATTAAAAAAAAAATCTCCCCAGCTAATATTTTTTTCCTGCAATCTTTGCCTGCTGTCCTTGCCCCAGTTCTTGTACTCCCAATGTAAGAGGAAAGACTTGTATGAGGGAAGCACAGATCAATGTTGAACCAGACTTAAACACAATGCAAAGAGCAAAAAAAAATTCCCATATTAGACTTCAGCAAGTGATTGCAGTTTCACAATTGGCTCTTCTGTGGACCAGAAGGGTGAAAAGAAGAAATATTTCAGTTTTGTACATACTGAGAAAAGAAAGAGATTGGCAAAACACATAACCAGGAAAGCAAATTAATGTACTTCTACCCTAATTCTCTAGGAGAAAATAACTCCACAAGACCAGCTGAACAGACACTTGACAAGACCACCACCAGATTATAAAGACCAAAGAAGGAACGTGGTCAACATGCAACAAGCAAACCAATATCCTGGTAAGTACCCATGAACTCAATGTAAATCTTTCCTTTCTTCCTTCCTTCCTTCCCGCTGGAAGACTGCCTGTAAGAGCCATGCATGCATGGGGACACTGGGGTATGATTTTCTGGATATCTGCTTCCACCACTGCAGAGGCAGTAGATGGTGGCTGTGCTATTTCCCTGAGTGTCCTGACCACTGAGAAGTGCTGGTGTGTGATCTGGTGCTTCATCCAGGCTGATATCACCTCTCTCAGGCATGGGGAAGGAAGGGTTGGTACCCCTCCCGTTAGCACTATCTGGGGGCAGATGTGCACCCAAATATTTGATGCAGAGATGTCCTCTTGACTATGCAACCTCACTGTATTCAGATGCTTCTCTCAAATATGTGGTGCATCTTGGTTCAGAGACTGAGATTAGAACCATCCCTCCCTTTAAATAGCAGTTCATGTACAGTGTGTGGACCCTCATATGAATTTTTAAGTATTCCACATGGCACCATCATGGGTTGTACTTTTGGTCTGTTTAATTGGCCATAGTTGTGGCCTTAGTGCTGCTCTACAAGCAGTAATTCAACAGATCAGTCAAACAGTAGAATAAAAGCCCTTGCTTTCTGCCAGAACTGCCCAGGGCAGGAAATAGGACTAGGACTAGGACTTCAGGACTAGTCCTTCGCTTCAGCTCTTGTGCCCTGACCTCCTTGGAGAGCCTGGTTTTTGAAGCACAGGATTGCTTGTTTGGCTTTTCATACTATTCACCTTGCTGATTGGCAGAAGGCCACTCAGAGAGCAAAGGCACAGTAAGGAAAAAATGCTGAGGAGAGAGGAGGTGGGGGAAATGCACCAGATGGGACCAAGGGATGTTCTTTATACTGCAAAAGTGTCTGTGCATGTAAGTATAAAAAGAATCCTTTGCCTTCTAGTATATTTTTGTATGCAACATACTAAGGAAAAAGAAGGGGTTGTATTTGTTGTTTGTTTTTCCATAACTGTTGGCTCTGCAGATTCAGCCAGTGATCTGAATCTTTCCTTCTAACCTGTCCTTTGTAGCAAAACCTTTTTAGCTTCTGCTATGATTTTAATGAGCTCTGAAGTGCAGCTTACTCACATGCCACCCCTCTGCCCAATCTGCTGGCTATGTGGGACCCCCAGCCCAGCTCTGTAGGGATGGGCCAGGTTGGGCTGCTCAAGCAGCATCCATGCACTCCTTTGCTCTGCTTACAATTTCTAGCAGTGATAAGCTTGCTGCAACCTGGAAACTACTGCTGGAAACAGCTGCTTTCTAATGGACCTGGGTGTTAATCTTCTCAGTAAACTGGCTCAAGCATCCCAGTGTAATTGCTCATGGTGATGGCCCTGCTCCCTGGCTTGGTACCTCCTGTACTCCCAAAATAAATGCTTTGGCAACCCCAGCATTTTGCTGGGAAATCTTGTGATTTGGTGTGTTGTTTAAAGGTTTGCTCCTGGAATCAAATTATTCACTGAGACTCTTGGCTTTTATGTAAAAACAATCCATTTCTAGTCTGAGAGAGAAAATGGAAGTGAGTGCAGCCATATGTGTGAAAGGCTCCAAAGTGAGTAGATCACCATTGTTATGTGACAGCTCTTGTTGTTAATCAGATGGACTCTTTGCCAGTCTTGTGGTATTTAGAGTCTCATCTCCTCGGTTTGAAACATGTGGGAATGGCAGCACTTGTCCATTCAAATCTCAAGTCCCTGCTGAGTGAGCCCCGGGAGGACAGCAGCCTTTCAGGCAAGCCTGGGAGAAAGGGCTGTTCTGGGAGCTTCCAGCAAAGCTACCAGATGGAGCGATTAGGAAACTCTTGCATAAGGGAGTAACAGTAGGGAAACTGTTCCCTTTTTCTGGGAATAGCTTTTCTCAGATCAGGGAAGAAGAAACAAAAAGCTAAATAAAATCGCATAGGTTGGAGAGATTTGGTTAAGTATTTTATTTCTCTATACTTTTCCCCACAGTGCCATTGCCATGGGGCAAGAAACCCCCAAGAAAAGAGCAGGTGAATCGGATAGGGAAGCTGTTTCTCCAAATTGCTGTAGCCTGGGGTGCCCAGCTGCTGTACACAGTGCTTCTGGGGAAGGCATTTCTTCCCATCTGGAAGATATAAGAATGGAAAATATTTGTGTTAAAAATAAAAGCATAAAAATAGCAAAACAAAGAAAGAGGAAGCTTCGTCTTTTGGCAATAAGTACAACGCCTTCCCAAACACTTGTGTTCTTTAAAAAGTGTAGCATTTGCAGGAGCAGTGTGTTGGTAGCCCTGGGGTCTGCTCAACAGCTGGCTTGGTCACCCCAGGAGGGGCTTCATCCCAGTGGCAGTGAAGTGACTCTACAATCTTGTAGTTCAGCTGGAGGGAGAGAACCATCTCTCCTCAGCTTGCTCTTCCAGAAATTAATTCTTTTGAAATGCCACTGAATTCTGTACCATTCCTCCTCTTTAATATGGGCTCAAGGGAGTGAAAATGCAGGGCTCCATCCCTATCACCCCTGCAAAAAAATCACAGAATCACAGAAAGGTTTGGGTTGGCAGAGACCTTAAAGATCATCTAGTTCCAAACCTTCTGCCATGGGCAGGGACACCTTCCACTAGACCAGGTTAGTCAGAGCCCCATCCACCCTGGCCTTGAAAACTTCCAGGGATAGGACATTCACAACTCTTTCACTAGTCCAGTGTTTCCCCACCCTTGAGTAAATTTCTTCCCTATGTCTAATCTAAACCTCTCCTCTGTCAATTTAAAGTCATTCTCCCTTGTCCTGTCACTGCATATCCTTGTAAAAAGTCCCTCTCTCTCTCTTGTAGCCTCCTTTAGGTACTGGAAAGTACTAGGTCACCTCAGAGCCTTCTCTTCTCCCGGCTTAGCAACCCCAATTCTCTCAGCTTGTGTTCATAGGAGATGTTACAGTAGTTCCAAAAATGCACAACCCACCAGCAAAGCCAAAGATGGGGCTAATCATAATCAGTGGTTACCAGCTGGGCACTGATTGTGGGAATGGAATTGTCCTTGCTGGGCCAAAACCAGGTTGACTCTCCACAGCATATCCTGTCCCAAGGGCTGCCCAGCTCAGGGACTTAATTTAGTTAGCTTAAGTTAGGAAAACACAATTCTTAGGATAATTAGATCCTCTACAGTCAAATGTCTCTGACTTAGAGCCTGTTTGTGGGACAGGCTTGCCTTCAGGATAGGGAGAGCTTATTAATTTAGGTATCTATGTCTTTTATTGATTTGGTACAAGAACTCTGGTTGTGGAGTCATGCTCAGTGTTAACAGTGATTTGAGAAGAGTTATTTTTTAAGTCCTTAAGGAAAAAAAAGAATCCTTTGCATCCATCACTAAATGGAAATAGCATATGTTTAAAAATAATGCAGAAAAGACAGACATATATAATTTTTTCTTTGGTTACAGTCTGTGGGAGCTGAACATCATTATGGTGAAATTTCAACAAGAACAGTATATTAAACAGCTGTTCCTAAACATAGACTTTTAAAATATGTATGTGCATGATTTGTCTTAAGGAGTTTTAAAAGAGCTGTCTGAGAGGTTCTCCAAATTCTTAGTGTCACTTTTTATTTAGTCTTGAAACATCAGGGGAGACTGCTAATGCCATGACAAGAATTAAAAGGCTAAGTAGGTAATTGCAGCCCTAGTAGCCTAATGCAGAGCTCAGCAAAACTACCAAAACTACTGGGGAGCAGATAGAGCCCAAATAATAAAGAATTTAGGGAGGGAAATATGTAATTAATTTCAAGCAACATGGGCTGATGTTATAAGAATCTTTTCAAACTTGCATGGTATCTCTTTCAATGAAACCACAACTTAAAGGGAATAGATGTTCAGATTATGTCCATTAAAGCATCTGGCTTCTTACTGTCAATTTTGATTAAGAAACCTGAGTGACACAAAATTAACATAGCTCAAAAGGAAATGACTGACAGGTCTCCAGATACCACTGTGAGCAGCTGTGTGATTGAAACTGGATATGCAAACATTGTCTGAGATGATGATGAACTGAAAAAATAGAGCTTCTTTTACATCAACATTGGAGATGTGCAAAATTTATTCCTGTGACCAGCTGTGATGTACAGCTCTGAAATCAAACATCAAAAACTGTCAAGTTCTCACAGGAGCTCCAAAGGACCAAAGGACTGGAAAACATGCCACACACACTGAGACTGAAGTATTTGGAGAATGCTGCAAGCATGACACAGTCTTGAAACACTCGTGTAGTAGGAAGGAATTTATGATGGACCAACTAATGAAATTTATCACACAGACCAATATATAATAGGATTTGGTGATGAAGCCAAAGCTAGTCAAATTCCATCTGGTTTTGCCATATGTACAAAGGATCAAACTAAAGCAGTGTTTCATGCCCAACAATTGTTATTAGTTGCACACTATGAAATAGCAAATCTCCTCATTCCTCCTCTGGGAAAGGCTCAGAGAATTCCTGAAATGCAGTGGTACCTCAGTAGCAAGCTCATTTGACAGCTTTTCTCACACTTTGTAGGCCACCCAAAGAGGTGTGATGATTTAGCTTGTACTGTGCCATGTGGCACAGATTTCCTCAGCTGACCCACACATTGTGTGAAGAAACATCTCCTTTCATTTTTCTTGAACCTGACTTTTTCGAGCTCTGCTTCTTGTAGGGTTCATACTGGAAGCAACAGTAGCAGAGTGAATTACTCTATGGAGTAGCTGGTTGTGTGCAGAGAGGGTTCTCCACAGTGCCATCTACACTGGCTACATTTAAAAAGTGATTGATCTTTTTCAACCAGTCTCTTAGGGATTAATTCAGTCTTGCACTGCATAAGCACTCAGCCTTCATGGTACAAATGACCTACTGTGGCCTCAAAATAGAGGCTGTGTAGCCAAAGAAGTGAGCTTGTTTCGAGGTTTGGTGGCTGAAGGCAAGAAAATCCTCTCTTCTTGTCATCCACTGGCAGATGTCAAGTACAGGAAAATCCTCCATCGGGCAGAATCAGCCAGGAGTGATAAATTTGTGCCAACTCATAACTTGCAGTTTTCTGATGCACAAAAGAGGATGTTCAGGTGCAGCAAGCGTTGGCACATCTTGTGTGTTTCCATCATGGGCAAGTCTGTTTCTGCAGGGCAAACAGCCATAGCCCAGCTGGGAAGAGAGCTTAGAAGAGGCATGTGTGGGGCTCACCAGGCACAGCACCGAGTCATGTCCTTATGCCTACTCGGCCACCACGAGGGAGGACAGGCACGTCCCAGACTGGGCTGAGCTCCTGTCCCTCCAAATGTGTGAGATGCAGTCTTGGCTTCTGCTGGCATCTGGGACAGACATTCCCAAAATAGGATGGATACTGCTGCTGTAGGTGTCTAAGAAAGGTGGGAAAGGAGCCAGGTGAAAGTGGCTCTCGCTCCCCATTGCCTCTAGAGGGAGCCAGGATGAGCCATGCCCTGAAAGGAAGACAAGTTCTAGATCTCTGATCACTTAGAGAGGCTTTGTCCTGTCTGAGGTGTCTAGAGCTTCTGTAAAGAAGGCAGGAAAGTCTTCCCTCCTGCCCAGTGGTTCTAGATGTCCTTCCCTGCTCCAATATTTCTCTTACAATGAGCACCGGTTTTGGCTCATGTGCTCTCCTCTGAAGGGATGGAAAGACTGCAGGTGGCTTAGTATAGACCAAACTACCCTTTGGATGACAGGCATCTTCAAGGCCTTGAGCAAGTTCTTGTAAGTCCTCTTAAGAGCAAAGGGTCTTCTTCAAGAAACTCTGCTCATAGAAAACTGGATTTTTGAGCTGTTGGTATTTGAATGTCACCACACATTGATGCAGTCATGCTTGTTGTAACACTTCTGTTTTCTCCTTTCCAGGTGGTTCACCAGCTGTGAGCATGAGCTCCAACAACATGTCCTTATCCAACCCAATTTCAACTCATAGCATCATGCCCCAGAGCTCCAGCCTCATGTCCACCCCTGCTGGAACCCGGATGCCTTCTGTTCCTGCCGCTCGGAGCATGGGCTGCTACGGGAATCTTCCTTGCAACCAACCAAGCACATACAATGTGACTTCAGGAATGAACCAAATGCAGCCACACAGAAACCAAAATCAAGTTCTGCCCAATCAGAATAACCCCATGGTGTCCCGACAGCAAACCATGACACAGGGGAACAACGGGGCGGCTTTTGGGACGGGGACAGTGGTCAACTCTCAGCAAATAAGGCCCAGCTTGACCCATGGAGCGACAGGTATCCCTGCTCAACGGCCGGCCAATGTGATGATCACAGCTACTGCCAATGCCCAGAACTGGGCCCCACAAGAGGCTGCAGTGAAGCAGCAGGATGCACTGAAACCTGCAGGGGTCCGTTTCCCCACCGGCACTCCATATCCTAACCAGTCTTTGCAGCGCAACGTAGGCAACCAGCATTTTCCTCAGCGTGCACTGGCACCTCCTAACCAGTTAACGGCGGGAGTCCAGATGAGGCCCCCTCTAAACCAAATGCACCAGACTCTAAATGGACAATCTGCTGGCTCGCTACGAGGGCTCAGCATAAGACCCAGTCAGCTGAGAGGACAGACTGTGCCTACCTTGAATCAGCCAGGAACAAGTATGACACCGCCGTCATCTCTGCCATCAACCGGTTTCACAACTACCAACCAAACCTCCCGGGCTTACCAAGGAAGTGACCATGGTAATGACCTAGCGTTTGACTTTCTGAACCAGCAAGGTGACAGTATAGGACCTGCGCTCAACAGTGACTCGGATTTTATAGATTCTTTACTGAAAACAGAGCCTGGTAACGATGACTGGATGAAAGACATCAACCTCGATGAAATTTTAGGGAACCACTCGTAAGTGACAGTACCAAGAGGGAACCAGATGAAGAGGCAGCAAGGACATTAGCTTTCTCTTTAGATGCCAACAACCTGCTTTATTGATTTACACTCCAGTAACTGGGCTGTCCTTTAAAATACAACATAGAGCAACTGCCCTGTTTGAAGAGTAGCTCTAGGAACAAAACTGAAGTGACAGTGTAAGTGATATTCCTGCCTGCCACAAAGGAGTGAAAATATGTGAAGGGTCTGTTCCCCACACCTGTGCCCAACCCATTGCAAACTCATTGGTTCTTAGAGTGGCTCCGGGGGAAAAAAACGTTTTCAGCTTCCCACACATGGAAGCACCAGACAGTGTTATGGGTTGTGGAATATCATTTCTCTGAGTGCAAGTAAGACCTCAAGTGGTCCACAGCTTTTCCATCATCGTGTTTGACAGCCCTTAACTTCCTCGGGACTGCTCAGCCCTGACAGCATCAAGCCCTGTGTAAATCTCATGGCATTACAAAAACTATTCACTTCTGCACAGTACAAACTTACATTTGCTTTCCCAATGATTTTGCTATAAACTGTACTTTTTGTAGCACACAGCAGGGTAAGTGGCCTCATCCAAGGGAAGAAGGAAACAGATCATCCAGTGTGTTACTCAGTGTGCTCTAGCATTTGTGCTCTCCCTTTCATCAGTGTTTGCAGTGAGTATTAGAGGATGCTGCTGCTCTGCCAGCAGCACGGTCATTCTGGGCATTGAGGGAAACATGAGATGAACTACTACCAAAGCTCAGGATCCTCACTTTGCCACCTTGCCCTTCCCCAGGGACTCCAGTGACTTAATAGAAATTTGAGTGAGAAGGATGCTCATGATTTGACCCTGACTACTCCCAGTCCAACTTAGAGGAGGGCAAATACCTAAAGTGGCTCAGTTAAGCCACTACCCTCATTTTCATCTCAAATCATGGCGAGTATCAATCAGGTAGTTCGGCCTGATCTTCTCTCAAACAGGTTTAGCTCAGACAAAATGCCATTATTTACCTGCCGGGGGGAAGCTGCCATTTTGGTTGCACAGCATTTTCTTCCCATCCTGTTTTCTCCTTTGCCATATGGGGGGAGTTGAAAGAGTTCTGGTGAAGGCCCAGGTCCCCACAGCCTCTGTCTGGAGTAGGAGAGGCTCTGCCCCTGAAACTAGCATGCACATCCGTTATAACTCACAGCAGGAGGCTCCATCAGCCACATCTGTGCTTGTACATGAAACAGTTCTGGGGATTATTTTGGGGCACTGGATTCAATGATCTGTTCTGGGTTTGAGGATGGACCAACTAATATTGCCCTGAGCAATTTCTGCGCATCACTAGAAAGATATCCTGGGGCAAGGACCATTCCTATGAGCAGTTTCAAGCTTGTCTTGAAGGCTAACAGAGCAGAGCATTAAGGATACAGGCTGTCTCACACCTGCCAGGGAATAGTCTTGACTACATTAAACTTTTTGCTATATACTTGGTCAGTTACAGCATCAGAAGGATATGCTATGTCACTATAAAGCAGCTCCACAGTGATTCAGACAGGATTCATGGATGGGAACAGATCTTGCAATTCAAATGTAAATGCTGTTCTTTCAAATGATGTGGTGCAATGTGTTTCACAGCCTCCTCTGAATTAGCTAAAACTAGATGTGGCAAAGGAATACAATGCCTACGTTCACATGCCTTGGTGCCAGGAGGCATTGCTCAGCCCGTGCAAGTGCTTTATTCATCCTTGTTAGTGGCAGTGGGATGAGTAGGCTATTTGACAATAGCCTCTGCACTTATCTGACCTACTTCTTGCGAGAGGTTTTAATAAGACTTTTCCAGTCATTTCACTCTGTCATTTCAAATGGGCACAATTTTTCAGAATGTTTCAAGAAGCATCATCACACAAATGAGCACCAGCACCTCCACGAAAGGTGTAACACGGGCATTTAGTTAGATATGCCAGTTGAGGCTGTTCATTCCCAGAGAAGTAAGAGGGACAAGAAAGCCTGCTGAAGAGTCCCTTCTGCCAGCCCAGCTAGTGATCACTGCACACCCCTGCATTGTGTAACACAGTGACTTAGCTGCCCAGAAAGCTCCCTCTCCTCCCCAGTTTTGGCGCATGATACATCAGTACAAGCTTTTCCAAACCTTTGAAGAGCGTTTCAGCTCAGGCTCCTGGGCTCCCACCTAAGCTTGGAGAGATACAGATGCGAGCCCACAAATATGTATAAATCATGCAAAATGAGACTGAAGTAGTAGCTGCATGAGTTTGAAGTGAAAGGAAGATTGGCTTATCTGCCTCACCCATCCTTGTCCACAAGCAGGTCAGCAGTGACTGCCAGCGCTCTGGTAGGAACAGATGGCTGCAATGGATGCCACTGAGGCCAAGGCTGAGTCAGTATCACCATGAGCAATGGGCACTGTAGTCTGGTAACTTCAACTACCCTCACATGCCATTGAAAAAGCCACCACTGGTTTCTCTATTAAGGCCAGACTGATTTCCAGATCCTCAAATGATGTAAAAAAAAAATATTCAGCTGAGGAGCTGGTCCCAAGGAGTCAGGAGTTGGACTCAACGATTCCTGTGGGTCCCTTCCAACTCAGGATATTCTATGATTCTATGGTTCTATGATATCATGCAGTGGTGGACTCAATGCAGAGTGTTGTCCTGTTGGCCTCAGCCTGGAGTGCAAAAGGCACTGGGCTGTGAGTGCCATCCCTGGGAGCAAAATTACATCCTGTCTTAAGTAAATTCAGAAAGGGTAGAGGCCATTTCCAGTCCTGTATGTATATGCCTGATGCATTTGAAATGCGAGCTTGTGAAAGACTCTTGCAACCAAAACTTGAATCCAGTATCATTTCTTCAGAACACTTGTATCTGAATGGAGCTAGTGTCTTTTTTCTCTTTCTTTGCAATGGCTAAGTGCACTACCCTTAAAGTCTATTTTTCATCATTGACTGGGCACTCTTCACAGTATTGGGTTGTAAATATAAAGAATTATTTGTTTTGTAAACTTTTGTAAAAACAACAACAAAAAGTAATAATATTTTGGTAGGAATAATAAAAATCATATTATTTGGGTTATATTTATACATATGTGAAATAAATATACTATCAAAAAGTTGTATTTTATACAAAAAGTCAACTGTTACCTTTTGTATTCTATATACAAAGTTTTGTATGATATGATTGTTTATTTTTATCTGCAGATTTCAATTTTGGGTTTTGGGGGAGGGCAGAACGGGATCATGGTTAAATAGCTGGGTCTGACCCCAAGCTCACTGAAACCAATGGAGTTTTTCCATTGCCTTCACAGGGCTTTGAATCAAGCCTTTAAATCACCTTCAGATATGTTTCACATCTGAAGCTCTCTGGAAACCTCAACATGAAAACATTCCAGGTTTCAAATTTTTTCCCTGAAAAAGGCTTTTATTATTATAATTATTGTTATTATTGTTATTTCAGCTGTTGGGAGGCAGGTGGGACCTATGTAACTGTCATGTCCTTGTTGCATGTATGTCTGCTTTATATTTTCCCCATATTATAAACCAGTGTTCCTCTATACAGACTGAAAAGAAAAGTTGCTGTACAGAAATGTTTGTGTTTATGCATTTTTACATGTGGCTGTATATACCTCCTAGTACTATGCAGTGACACTTATTTGACTCCATTTATTTTTCACCTAAACATGAATAGTATGTTTTTCAGTAGCTATCAAAACTCTGCCAAGTAAATCAATCAAAATTATCCCAAGTGTCTCTTTTCTTGCTATGAATTTTATATTGAATGTCTGTTTAGTCAACTGCTCATTCATCTGAGTAAATTAAAAATACTGTGGGGGGGGTGAGAAAAATGAACATCTGGCAGCTTCCAGGAGCTCAGCCTGCCTCTTTGCCAGAGAGCTGTGACGTTTTCCTCCCGATTGAAGGCTTCACTGGTTTCACTACCAGAAAGGGTTAACAAATAATGGCTAACAAAAAGTGCTATTTTAGCTCCTAGTGAACGGGTTGATGGGATCTTGCAGCAGAGCAATTTGCTCTGGGATCCTGCAAAAAATTAAAGCTGAGAATTGTGTGAGTTACGCCAAAGAGCTGGCTAGGTCCCCAAGCCCATGCCCCGGCCTGGATCATACCCTGGAGATATTTGCCCCACTCCCCTCACTATCAGGCCCCCAGTGAGAATCCAGAAATCAGAAAACTGGCTTCTCCTTTCCTCCTTGCCTCCTTCACATGGCACTTCATTCTAAAGAAGCGCCTAAAGAGATTCCAGCCTGTAGAGATTCCAGCATGTACAACCCATCACGTTGGGCTGCGGGCTGTTTCACACAAGCATTCGTCCCTACCAGGCTATTTTTAGAAGGTCAGCCCTGAGGAAGTGCCCCATTCCTCGAGAGGCTTTCCGGGCTCCATCTCCAAGTGGGCGGCTCTTCCTGCCCCATGAACTGAGCAGAAGGGGTGGTGGGGGGGATGTTTCCAAGGGACAAATGTCAGCACATCGCTGCCTGTGCTCAAAGGCTGCCTTGTGCTATTTTGAGATGTAGGGAAAAAAAAAAAAGGGCTCCCCACATCTTAACTGCTTCACTGCTGGTGGTGATGATGAGGGACTGCCATGCAGCACACCCACCCTTTCAGCCCCTCTGTGCTCACCTTCCCCTACAGGGAAAGCAGGAAGGCACCTCCCTTGGCTGCCCCTCTCAACACCAGCTCTACTGCCTGCTGCCCTCGTGGGTTTTTTTGCTTATGTTTCTTGCTCCCTCCAGTGTATCTGACTCCTACCCACAAATGGCTCCTTTGTCCTGCCCTGGCATCTGGTGCTTTCACAGGAGGGATGGAGGAGGATGCTGGCAGATGTCTGGTGTCCTACTGCAGTGGCTGTGCCCATAACCCTGATCCTGGCTGGAAAGGCTGAAGCAAGGAGGTGCCCAGGAGGTGTGTGCCTCTCTCCTCACTTCAGCATTTCCAGCACAGGCAATACAAAGTGCTTTCCTTGCACTCAAGAGGAAAAATAAGGGACAGTCTCACTCACCCAAACCTAAATCTGAAACAGATCAAGAAACTCATGCCCTAAAGCTGTGTCTTTGTCTATCTCAGCTGTAAAGGCGAAAGGCAAGGAAGGCAGGATGTGGGAGCCTCAGGCAGGGCTGCTGTCCACCTCCAGAAGGTACACCTTTGTCAGTGAGCTGAGAAACAGCCTGGCACCCCTCCCTGTCCCTGGAGTGTAGCTGTCTGTGCCATCAGGCTCTGAGTCCTTGGTAGTGCTCGGGGACCATGACCACTCTCCTACAGGTCTCACGATCAAAAGCCATTCCCACTGTGGGTGCAGGACAAGAGGGAAAACAAAGTATAAAATACAAGTCACCCTGCACTACATGGCTTCTGTGACAGAAAATGTCCCCAGGCCTGTCTCCTGTGCCCAGGGAGATGTAGCCATGAGGACACATGGAAGGGGTGTGAGACATGAGTGGCAGTGAATATTTTCCCTGCCCGGCCAGATGCAGCACAGCAGGAATTGCACCAGGCCCGGGCAAGGGCTGACCTTTCCCACTGCATCCAAATCACTTGGTGGGAACCACTACCAGCTCGGGCAGCACAGCCAAGAGCGCTGCTCCCTCCCACGGCTGCATGGAGGTCTGGCAGCTGCAGCCACAGGGATGACACAGACAGCATCCCTCCCCCTACAATGAAAGTTTCAACCATGATAAGAGCTTACTTCATCCTAATTTTTAAATTAGGCATTCTTGGTCCAGAAAAGGTCAGGCAAGCCGAAAAAAGCAGGTTGATTAGGACTTAGAAATTTCGTCTTTAAAAAAACAAAAACGAAGCCAAACCAAACAAAAACAAAACAAACAAACAAACAAAAATCCTGCTAAACAAAACAAAACCAAGCCAGAACCAAAACAAACAAAAGGAACTCAACATGAAGTAGCATTTGGAAAACCAGCATTTTCATTGCAAGGAGCTCCTTTAAAAGATCCGAAGCATAAATGATTGTTTTTCCTGTACTGAGCCAGCCTCCTGTGTGCTGAAGAGTGAGCACCCAGCAAGGGACACCTCTGTGGGTGGACAGGTGTGGCTGTCGTGTTGCTGGTGGGCTGTGTGCCTGGGTAGCAAGGCTGGATGAGCCTGCCCAGGACAAGCGGTGGCAGAGGCAGCCTGAGGCTCCCAGAGCAGCAGGGACAAAGCCCCGCTTGGCTGCGCTGCCATGTGCCTGGTGAGCTCTCCCCAGACTCGTCGTGCATTCCTGTACATAGCTTCAGACAACAAAGATGCTCTATCCACATTTTTTTCTGGAGGGCTGCCTGACATGTTTTCACTCTGGCTGACTGGTCTGCCCTGTTTTACAAAACACAGTTGCTCTGTTTTATACTTCTTACCCGGGAACATGGGGAAAACTCTGTGGTGCTGTTAAGTGTTTGGGTGAAATGCTGAGTATAGGTGCACCCATGCAATCCTGTTGAAGTCAACATATCTGATGGCAAAACTCATTCCTCAATGCCAATTTCAGATGAAAGGTAAAGTTCCTGGTTGTTATGAAGGTCTATGAACGTCATGTAAAGGCAGGGTTTGCCCTTGATGCCATTATATTGGAGTGTCATGGTGAAAATAAAACCAGGGAATGTGTTCAAATCGCCTTTTTGTGCTTACCTGGCCATTAAGTACAACAGGGAAGTTAAATCTAAAGGCCTAAAGCTTTTTTCAAAAAATTGAATTAGCTCCTGAAGAGGTCCTAGAGTACCAGCTGCTGAGAAACATTTACTAGAAATCACTGTAGTATTGTTTAAGGATCTGATATGGAAAGCTCCTTCTTGTAGATGTGGCCTTTGGGGTTAGTTCCATAAGCTGATTTCATGAATAAGTGGGCATGCAGAACAGTCAGGTCAATATAGGAGTATAATTTGCATATCAATGAAATTTCCATCAGTGAAAGACATCTAACTTTTTCAAGGAAAAACATATATAGGGACTCAGTAATTTGCCTGCATCTCTTCAAATTTATTTGAGAAGGAGGCTGATGAGTTTTCCCAAAATGCAGTTTTTAAAAAGAGAAATGTGTCAGAATGCACATGCCATATTATTTGATTCCTCAAATATAGCAATGTCTTGAAGGTAAATACTGAAGAATATCTAAGAACACATGCACTGGGAAAAATAACCCTTTGTGAATCTACACAACAGCTTTGCCAAATAATGTTTATTCCTTTTTTGAATTCCTGCTTCTCTTAGGGATTGTGCTTTTTTTCCATGTTACTTATCCTTCAGCAAGACTTCTAGCTAGCATAATGTTATTCATAGTACCTCTATGAATAACCTAACTCTACAGCAAGTTAAAATCAGTGTAAAGAAACCCGTTGTACTCTCACTGATTTCCTTACTGTGAACATGTGAGCCTTGGTCTGCTGGATAACCAGGCTCACAGGATGTCTACAGCAGAGGTAAGAACCCCAGGTGTATTTTCAAAAGCCTGATCAAAGCTGCAGGGCTATGTGGTATCCCCATTCACATGGGAGCTGCAAGTTAACTGTATTAGTACAGCTAAAATCAGGATTTCATGCATAACACTCCCTGAAAGCCAACTTTTCCCTTCGTCTAAGTAACAAATTCAGTAAACAAAGAGTTTGCCCATGGTTACATGGCATCTTTACGTTATTATAGCCACACTGGTCTTGATTAATGTGCATCTTACTAGAGTAAAGCCATGACATGATAATCTTATTCATTAACTTTCCCTCCAATGCCAAAGACATAATCTAGTGTGTTTTATTGTATAAACTGCTATCTTCTGACATACAAATACCAACAGACCATCTGTTTATACTGGGGAGTTTAAAACCTTCTCACATAAAATATCTGGAGTGCTTTAGAAGGTTACAAAGAGCAGCTTTCAACAGATAATAAGATAGTGCTGTTTAAAGAAGTAAATCATTAAAAAATGGAATTAAAAAAACCCTTGTTGAAGAACATTTCATTAGTTTCTCAACATTGAATATAGTCCTTTTATAAGTGACTCAAGTGCACAAAACAGCACAAAACCTCAGAAATATTCTTTTGTTACATCTATCTTTTTAACCCTCAGTAGTGGCCTATTTTGGCTTCCCCTTTTGGTTTTCTTTTACAAAATTTAGAATTGAGTCTTTTTATACACTTTACTGTGCCTCCAAAGCCTCCTGCTATTAGATCGGTTTTAGCTTTCAGCAAGTGAGAGTGTGCAATAAAGAAAAATTTCCCAATGGCCACCAACACTGCAGCACAGCATAGCTGTGCACTTGGATGACAGATTAGCTCCAGAAATGCTACTTTTTATTAAATTATCTAAGCTTTCATCAGAGAATGCTTTCACCAGGCTTTTACAGCCTTTGATAAAAGGCAAGATTTTCGATAAGAAGCCCAAAGCCCAGCTTCCATGCTCTCATTGATCTAAAGAATGATGTCTGGCCCTCAGATTTTAGCTTGCAGAATAGTGCCACCCTGTAATATGATGTAGTCCAGTTTATTTGCAAGCAATGCAAATAAACAGAAGCCTAGAAAATAAATAAAGAAGAATTAAGGTTCTTTAGCCTGAAGAAGAGGAGATTTGAGTGAGAATAGGAGAGAGAGCTCTTGAACAAATAGATCATTGCTGCCAGGGGAAAAGATTGGGTATTTTCCACAATGATCTCTACAAGCCAAGAAATCGTAGCTTCAGGTTAGGTGCCAGGTGGAATTTTTTAACAGGAAGGATAATATGAGGATGGACTGTCTGAGGAGAGT